TTAGTCTTTTATTGATAAACTTCGTTTTAGTCTGTCAAGCTGCGATATGTCAACAACATCTGTGAACAGCGGAGGGATTAGAGGACGTCATTTTGCCTTTGACATTCAATATATTTTGTACCAGAATTAATTTTTCCGAAATCTGTTTTTATGAAAAGTCTATTATGAACGCTATCGCATATGTTATAAGCAAAGAAACGTTTTACTGACAAAAGTAGAACATAAGGACACTTCTAAGGCATATTTTAACTAATATATGAATAATATGAGTATGGGTTGGAGGTATTTATTTGTATAGCTTTGAAAATGACTACAATCAGCTGTTTCGTTAGCATAAACGATGTTTTACAAACCAAATTTTCAAGAACAGCTGAGTCCAATTTCCTCTGGATCGGATCGGCGACATCTGATGGCCAGGTGAGCACTGCGACCAGTTCTAAATTTACTAGCTTTCCTTAGTTCTAAATTTGACAAAAAAGTTAAAACACTTTTACAATATAACAACAGCCTTATACAATTTGATGCTATATGAAAATAATAACGACTGCTTAGTTATGTCATAACTATAAAGGAGCAAGGTATTATTCTTTACGTGTAGTAAAGATATAGTAGTTTACGCAACGATTGCGTAAAGACTATTAACGCACTCTTACTATAAATACTGTATCAGGTACAATTAGGGAAATATTGCATATTTTTTGGACAAATGAATAATATAGTGAAATAGTTAATTTACAGTTAGTTAGTTTTGTAGTTAATTTCAGCATCGAATATGTGGTCCACAACGAGTTGGGTGAAAAAGTGGTTAAGAGGTTTTCAAATAAACGAGAAGCACATTTTCATTTATTACATTAACTTTATTTTGTTTTGTCCATTTAATGAATTGCTGGTATGTAATTTCATACTTTTGTTTTGATTTTGGTGGCAAAATATTAGCACAAACAGTTTGTGCTCTTATTTCCATCTCGTCAACTCCACTTTCACTAACTTTCATTTTTAAATCAATTTATTCGACCTCCCCTTAACTTCCATCAACTTAGGTTTAAGAATACGCTAGTATCAACAGGAACAAGTCGGATCAACAATTTAAATTGTCAACTGATCAGCTGTATTACTGGTTATGTTTTCGCATATCGATTGATATTCGAACTTGGCTTCCATACAAAAGAAAGGTTTTCATTTATTGGCCAGCATCTATGAAAAACTTAATGTTCGATCGGAAGGAAATAGCAAAAGTTTTATCTGCTATCGAGCAAAACATCTTCCTTCAAGCGGAGATCCTCTAGGAAATGTTTCGCTACATCCAAATGTTTATGATTGATACGGTTTATTTCAAACAGACATTAACAACTATCTTTTTCAAGTATTGGGCCTGCAAATTTATTTTTAAAGTAAATTACAGAGTAAGTTTTTCAACTTACATTAGAGTTGTGTAGAGCTTAGGGATATAAAACTTATAAACTTACTCTATATTTAATTTTAAGTCTTTGAACAAATTTAAACAATTATTCCTGAAATTAACATTATTTTTTAAATTCCGATTTTCTTGAAAATATTTTACACTATGTAGGTATGTAGATGAGTTATTAAGTGCTTACTGTTTGACATTCAAAACGTATTAAATTTGAGATTATAATCCATAGGAGTCAATTAACATTCATTTAATTGTACTTTTTATGTTTTTCACTTACTTTATGACTATAATATCAAAAACACTATTAACACGTTTTCTTAACACAAAGAAACGAAAATGTAGCATGATACCTAATTTGAAGATTACATTATAATTTGCCTAAAATACGTGTAGATTGAGTTTCTAACTACAATTGGTAATTTTGTAAAGTTAAACATCCTTTCAACAATTACTTTGTCTAGGAATTTCTTTTAGCGAATTTCCCATATGGGAAATAAGCTACTTTCACAATAATATGTAAAATGGTTTAGGAATATTTTTCCGAAAAATTATATTTTTATACTTTTAAACACTTTACAGTTATATGTATATTATTATCAAAATTATTGGGTATTTAGGGTACTAAGAAAATTTAAATAGAACGTAAACTGAGTTGAGTTTTGACTGGGGATTGTTATGAGGAAATATTTGCTTTATTTATATATTCTCATGTTGGGATATCAATTATTTTCTTGTGTTATTATTTGAATATAAATTTAAGTGGAATATGTTTGATAAACACACACGGATTACTGGTATAATAAGGTTTTACTTTAAAAGTATATTTCGTTTACTAAAACCGAGCTCGTTATCAAATAATCGATTAAGAGTAGTATTATTTTACATAAAGATTCAGTAGGCCTAATGTTTTTCTGTTTAGATTCAATAATCCAACACTAAAATTTATGAAAATTAATTTTAATGTACTTGTACTAAAGCCTTCCAAAATATTGTTTTCCTCTACTTAAGATTAACATTTTTTGGTTCCGCAAACATAAATCAACACTGAGAAAGAAACCTCAAGTTAGTCTGTTTCACTAAAGAAACATCCCAAGATAAGGAACTTCTAGAAGTTGTGAGAAGTTGTGAGCTGCAATTTACTTCTTTAAAACTTTGTTTAAAAACTGATGCTGTCTCGAAATCAATATTGTTTATTGTTTCCTTTGAAAGAATTTTAATATTGCCAAGAACTAGTTTTTGGTCCTGTAAAATATTTTTAAATTTTTACTTCAAGAAGGTGAAAAGAGACATCGGTTCTCCAAGTCTAAAAACATTATACATTTACATTGATCATTAGTGATATATGTTCAGTGTTATTGGTCACATATTGCATTGAAATATTTTAGCAACGTTCAAAACCAAATATTATTTATCTATTAACAAGGTTAACAAAAACAATTCTAGGCAAAAACATAAATTTATTCGATGAAATCAAGCTTTATTATTATGTATTAACAAGGTTCAAAAGATTTCTAGGCATAAACATACATTTATCCGATAAAATCAAGCTTTACGGAATGATGAAATAGCTTCTAAGAATAAGCCTATTGTGAAAAATACCACTTGTAACTAAAACCAAAAAAGTTACCTAGCTTATAAATATTAGTTTCAAGACATAACGTATCGTAATAAGGTAAACCTATTTGTGAACGTAGTTAAGCCAAACTAGCTCGTAGTAATGTATTCTACAGTAATTTATATTCTTAATGTCTTGGCAGAGTTGGGAGGGGGAGGGTTAAAACTTTTCTAACATTGCTCAAATTCAAAATAGGATGGAGTAAATATTCCCAAACTCTTGACAGATGCCTTGTTTGATGTTGCTTGGCGAAGCCAGTATTTAACAAAGAAACCAATGGCAAACAAGTGTGATGGTTAGTTAATTAATCTAAGGCCAGGATACACAATGCGAAATTTTTTTTTCCATCGGTCCTATTATAATGTCAACATTTCAATATTCTACATCAAGTAACAATTTACAACTTATGAAGTATAACAACGCATTCTTTTTTCAAAATTTTATTTACAATATGTTCAGCTTTTTTGAAAATTTAGCAAATATGATAACAATTCATAGAACGTCAGTTAGTTTCTATTCATCGACAGACCTAACCTAAAAATATTCAATGGAAAATAATAACAATAATGAAATTCTTTAAACAATGCGTGAGCTAAGGACTAAAACATGAGTTCTTTTTTGATCCTGCTCTAGAATCTATCACGAAATACATTAGGTTGTTAAAAATTGAAAATATAGCAAAATACTTTTGTGGATCGGATTCTTTGAACGTTCGTTCTGAGTTCTGGTCAAATATGTCTACGACATTATGTTTTTTTAACTGGACGAACACAAACAAAAACGTTAAAAACTCTCCATTTTATGAAGAATATGAATACACACAGTCAGGTAACAAAACTACTTCCATCATGAAAAATAGATTTGTTGTAATGTGAAACAAAGAGATAAAAGTCGTTTCTCTGTTGCCTCACCTGAATGTATAAACTATTGACAAGACAAGTACTGAAACATTTGCCGGCTCAAGAAGTTATATTTGGAAAGTCACTTTAACAAACTGTTTTCTTTGGTAGTTTATGTACTCTTTCCCTCTCCATCTATATCTGTCTGCAAATGTATCGTTGTATTTTTTAGTAGGAATAGCACATGTTAAACAAAGTACATTAAACAAAGTCCATATATTGAAAAATGTACTATATTTTATATATTATATATTTTTCATTGCAATCATAGGGTTTATTTGTCCAAATTTTGTATAGTTAAATATTTATATGGGTCTTAAGTAATTAGTATTAAGAATATTGATTATAAGGGACTTATTTTTGATTCTCAACTATTATTTATAAATTTGTGACGACCAAATACATTTTAAGAATATAGTAGTCAACGTGAAGGTATGTTTCAAAACAGTTTGTTTAAGACAAATGTAGGAACACACATAGTTTCAATAGTAGTTAAAGAATATATTCGTCTAATATTAATCGATATTTTACGGTTTGGTCTTAGTTTGAACCAAACGAGATGAATTATATCCAGACATGTCTGGAGTGTCAATTTAATCCTCAAGATAATTAAAAGGAACCTTCCCTTTACAATGAAAAACCTTGTAAAATAGTATCATCTTATCTCCTATCATTCTTTAAGCACTTTTCGTTAAGCACAACAAAAACTTAACTTTTAAGTTGGAAGAAATTCAAGCTAGTTCTTTATTACAATTTTAAAACAATTTAGTTTTTGAAGCAATTTTGTATGGCGTTTCAAAAAGTGCTGCGTACTACTCGTTCATCAATTATTGTGTTGTTTTATCTCATAACCATGTACAAGGCAGAGAACTCATGGAAAAATTATAATTTATAATGAATTTACAGTGATATCTATTACAGAATTACTTTCAGAAGATGTAAAATCATCATTATGATACAAGCATTTGTTCATAATACTACAGCTAATAAATAATCTGATAACAACAGAACGCATAACAAACTTTAGTACTATTTTATTCATCAAAAGCTTTTCATTTATTTTTCACAAGATGTCACCGTATAAAAAACAGTAGCTTAAGGCTATAAGAGTCTTAGTTGAATAAAAATATCTAACGCATACAATAGTGATTTTTTTTACTTGTAGTCTTGGAAAGTGTTCTACTTGATCTCCTCCATTTTTACTCCATCAGTGAGTTCTCCTGAACTTACATCCCATGAGGAACTGTAGGATTCAAATGATTTCACAGAGCTACCGGAGATTGTTGAAATACTGTTAAAGCCATCGGCCCAGCTTGACCCTGCGGAGTTTTCACTGATTTCCCCTTCTTTATTATCTTGATAATTATCATCATCATCATCATGATGACCATCATCATCTTTTTCCCAGTCATCATCTTTTTCCCAATCATATTTGTCCCCATTATCTCGTTCACTATCATCTAGTTTATCAGTATCGTGTTTTTGATCATCGTGATCATTTTGATCCTCATTTCCGTGAATGTCATCCTCAGATTGTTCATCTTGAGTATTTAGGAGGTCATTTCCTTTTTCATTCTTCTCTTCATCGTGCTTTTCCTTTTGACTATATCTTTGCTCTTCTTTACGTCTATCTTTTCGCTTATCCTTTACATCACTTTGCTCGTCCCTTTTCTCATCTTTTCGTCTATCTCTTCGGATATCACTTCGCTCATCTCTTCGCTCATCTCTTCGCTCATCTCTTCGCTCATCTCTTCGCTCATCTCTTCGCTCATCTCTTCGTTCATCTCTTCGTCCATCTCTTCGTTCATCTCTTCGTCCATCTCTTAGCTCGTCACTTCGTCTGTCTCTTCTGTCATGACTCATTCTATCTCTTCGTTCATCCCATTGGCCGTGTCCTTCCTCACTATAGTCATCACTTCGCTGATGATCATCACTCCTCTGACCTTCGTCGAGTTCCGAGCTGGACATGTTTGCGCGATCTACAGCACTTCGTATGACATAGTTCTTGTCTATCAGTGCATGCCTGAGACCGTACTCAACCACGTAATCTCTTGCATGTATCATCTTGTCTGGGATGTTGTACTCTAAAGAAAAGGATTCATTGAGTTAGTTAATGAAATTACAATAATATTGACATGTTTGTTGATAAGGCTTGTGAATTTTACTAGTTTACGCATCGATCGCGTAAAGACAATCTTTAAGACGCGAGTAAAACATTTGTAAGGTACCTGTACGAACCTTGGCCAATGCCTTTAAAACTTCTACGATTGTCTTAAAGTCTAGTTACACGAGTTGTGCACACTACTTTATCTACGGCTGTTTTTTAATTACTCCCAATCACTACTCATGACGTCTAAGAGATTTTATGTTTTCGTTTATAACCTCTCATTGCCACTGATTGTGATGCAACGAGCGGAAGCGAGTTGCATAATATCGTGGAACGTACAAGATTTTTTACCTGACCCGACAATATACAGGGGGTTATGTACAGGGTGAGGCAATGAGAACGCTGCAATTTGTTTTATCTGTCACATGTTAATTGTTGCAACAATGAATTATCAGCTGTGCTTAAAACATCAATTAAACCATGCCATTTTAGTAAATATTATGCCTGAGGCTATTAATACTGAGATTTTGATGTGGAAACCTATTTATAAAATAGTGGTTCTTGTGCAAAAACCCAGAGATTGTTTGGATCGTATTCCATCCTTGGTCAACATGGCGCTGTTCCAGATTGGAAAACAATGTTGAACTGGGTAAAATTATTTAAGACAATCGCTTAAACAAAAAAATAATCGGTGGGTGCCGCAAAACTCTTACACCAGCAAATCTTAAAAGAATATGAGTCCCAGTAACTCAAAGTCCGAAGAGATTTGCCTGGAAGCTTTTTTTGTTGAAATATAAAGTGAAATAAGCTACTTGACGTTCTAGGTTTTTCAAAGTCACCCCACAGATTTGCTTGAACCGAAGCTAAGGATAGTCCAAAAACTAAAGTGATTCCTGAAGAAGTGCTGGAGGAGTATTTGATGGAGTTTCAAGTGGCTAAAAAGGAATTTCAAGTAGGACAATGAAGTCACTTGTAGGATTTTGTTCTCAAGAAATGGAAAAATGACTTTTTTTAAGTTAAAATAGCAAAAGATAAGCTGTGTTTTGGTGTGCTATTTATATCCATAGGGTGAATATTATTGAGTTTGTACCGTTTATAAATTGGGGCGCTTTCATTGCCCCACCCTGTACAATATTTTGCATTACCCATTTCACTCATCTTCTAACAGTAAACGTTCTTTTATAAACTAAAGCTAGGTTAGGAAAATTGATTCTTGACAAGTGCACAGCTGATTTCTAGCGTTGAACGTCGTTAACTCCATAGAGGTATATTTTTTAAGTTGAGCACTTAATGTTATTTAAATAGGTTTCATTACTTCCCTGAGTAAGTTTTTGAAACTTTACTTCACTCGTGAAGTAAATAAGTTGCTTACATCACGCTTGGGATAGGGAAGTTTAACATGGCGGGTTGGGTAAAGTAAGTAAACAATACTATTAAGTGGATCTTTTCAATTCTAAGAACTGCATTTAAAAGCCTAGTATAAAAAAACTGCTGTAAAATAATTTTACTTTCGACTGCTTTTTAAACAGGCCTTTTCAATTCAGTTCTTAGAATTGAATAGTAATTCACTTTAGGCCTACCTCATTGTTTGTTTACCTTAACGCATTGATTTATTTATTTTACAGCACTATTAATGGACCAATGTGGTTCAAGGATTGAGAGAAAATATGAAAAATTGTAATATTTTGAATGTTAACTTATCAGCTGTTAAGCCTAATGTAATAAGTCGTTACGTCCACTATCAGTGGCAATGAGAAGTTATAAACGAAAATAGAACCTTTCTTAGAAGTTATCAAGTAGTGATTGTTAGTAATAAAAAATACCCCCGCCGCAGCAAACCTGCAGACTAAGCGAATTTCCATTTGCCTGATTGGATTTAGACTAAAATGTCTCCTTAAAAATATCACATTTATTCCCTATTTAAATAGAATCAGTTTAACACATACTTAGGTTTGCTGCAACAGGGAGGGTAAAAGTGTTTTTTTATGTAAAATGTTAATAGTTAGTAAGAAATAAAAACATTTTCCAAATTTGGGCAAAATATGTTAATAAACAAGCACACTACAACGGTTTACTTATTCTCCATAAGAATAACATGGGAATTTTAAATTAACAATTTTTTGGAATTTTCTCCGTAACCATTAGGCGCATTATAACGCTTCAATATACTAAATTATTTGTTTTTTTAAGCTCTACAAAATAGTTTGGAAAGAAATTTCAAAATTTTATGTTTTTTGTGTCAAAAATAGGAAAACCCCATTTTTACCCCATAAAAGCCCCCATAAACCCCTGTTTCCATGGTCCGATCATGCTGGTTCGCGAACTCGTTCGAATAAACGTAGGTTTACATGTTTGTAGCAAATTTCATCAAAATCGGATCATTTTTGCTAGAGTTATCGCGCTAACGGACACACATATATATATATATATATAAATATATATATATAAATATATATATATATAAATATATATATATATATATATATGAATTTGAACGGATGGTGTTTTTGGTCTCTAGGGACCTCAAAACGAAAAAAAAATCGGTCCCGGGTCCAGGTCTTACCATGAGTACTACGGTAATAGCTTATTCCCTACCTATATGGGAAATTCGCTAAAAACGGTCGTAGGTAAAATAGCGAACGCAACTCACGTAAAGAGACTTTACGACACTCGTAGATGTTCTCAATTTTCTAATTTTGTGGTAAAAACTCTTGCGATTGTTGAGTACACTACTATTTTGTGTTACAGAAAACAATCGATTGATTGGTAAATACATATTTTTATAAGCAAATTTAAACATTATCTTTTTAATTAGTGACGACAGGGATTACAAATTTAAAGGCTCGTGTAGTTTTTGAAGATGATTCCCATTTTATGAAATTAAATTATTTTCGATAATTGAATCGTAATCCTCGAGGAGTCATTAAAATTTCCTCGTAATTATAATTGTAAATACTCTGTATTTTCGTTCTTATAAACCATGTCAGTCATTGGCATGAACTCTAATAATCATGCATAGTATTACAATAATGAATTGAGAAGTGTAATTTTATATTATAATTACTAAATGGGATGGAACTTTTATTGGCAAAATTTGCTTACCATTGTATTTCCCTGCAAAAGCGATGAACAAACTGGATTTGTTTATTTTTTCGTACTGCTTTGGCAGTCCTGGCCTAGTTCCCCACCCTCTGCACTCATACACCGTTCCGTTGTTTCCAATGAAGAAACTGGTGGACATTAAATAATTTACTGTACAGAAAAAAATTAGATTAATTTATAAATTTTATCACTTAATGTATGGCCAAGTCTTAACATGTTAACGACTGAAATATGTTCATCACCATTAATAACTGTAGATGAGTTGAGGAAAAAACGAAGATCCAAAAACAACTTTTAAAGAATATTTATCACAAGAATAGCTACGAATCTTGTATTATTCTAAATATAACGCAACGTTAGTTTATTACTTGAAAGATACTTGCCTGAGTTTTACCAGGAGAATTTTATAATTAGCCAATATCACTGGTAATGGGACTAAATTGCGAAAATAGTCAAAAAATTAAAGACACCACTAAATTTATGTATTTTAGTTTTAGTGGAGTTTATTTTGTTTAAGAAAGAGCAAGAAGCTTAACTCAAGGTATTTGGATACCAAAGTAGACATGTCATCTTTTCTAGCTGTGGCCAATTTTGTACAGTATTCAAATTCAAACATACCAGTTTATAGAGTTCACGTGGTGCAGTAAGTACTATTATAGTATTAGTATTAGTAAATTGTCTAGTATAGTATTATTTTATTTTGGGAGCGAGCTGGTCTAGTGGTTAGAGCACGGGACTCCGGTTCCTGGGGTCCCGGGTTCAAACCCCGCTAAATCACCAATGGATTTTATCTCAGTGATATTGCCGTAACCCCTAGGTCTAGGCTGAAGTAATATAAAAAACAATTCCGGGCTCGTGCCTAGCGTCCTAGGACAAAAAAGTATAGTATTATTTTAAAAACTTTCACCTCTCTTATTTCTATGAAAATGTACTACCCTTGATGGTGTATGTGGCATAAAATTTGCTAAATTGACTATAGAATATTCTTAGAATTTGGCTTGATTAAGATGTTACTGTATTTTACATTTAGGTAATTAAAAGCACCACCCTCTGTTGATGGACTATGTCAGCCATGTCCATAAGCGTCATGCAATTTTATGCCTACTTTAGGGTCTAAATAAATCTATTAAATTTTTATACAGTAATCCACTAAACTACTTTTCTAAAATGATTCACTAATATGACCTCTGTTTTTAAAAGGAGTGTTTAATAAACACACCGGTATTTCAGATTTTTGTTCAAGTTTGATACTTAATATTATACTAAATTCCATCATGACAAAATGTTATGTTACCTGTATTTAATATCTGGACAGGTTTTAGTACATGTGTGTCTTTCATGCAGATAAAGCAGTTCTCTGGTGCATTGTTTCAGATTGAAACACCGATTTCTATAGGTTGGCAGACAGAAGATATACTTCACAGGAAGCTTTAATGGTGCGCCACTCCCCCATTTTGTGCTAGGAGCTTTCCATTCCTGTCTTTTAACCATTGACATTGGCCTTGGCCTGAATAAAAAACAACATTAATTTAATTGATTTAATTATCTTTTTAAAGGGTACGTGTGACGTGTAACCAAACTATTCAAAAAGGTTTGTGGTTATTACCTATAAACTGAATAGATGGTTTAATTTGGTATTTTGTAAACATTTTGGGTACTTTCCTGTTAAAGGGAACATTCATTATTATCGATATTTTTTTCGATATATCGATATTTTGTTTTCCTTTACGATACATTACAAATTGAAAGCCGATCGCTAAGCTAAAATAATATAGTCTACATATGAAACTGTTCTAACCTAACCTAACATAACCAACCAAACTTGCTGTATCATTAAAAAATTCCATTTGTAACAGAAAAGACAAGTGGAGAATTTTAAACGGAGTTTCTAATTTTACATCAAGTTTGGTTAGTTTTGTTAGGTTAGTTTAGAACAGTTTCATTTCAGTATTTTTTTTTTTAATTATTGTTTGTTGATTCTGAAAAATATTTATTTATCGTAGTTGTCAGCTGATATGTTTCAATATTGTTAATATCGATAGATCGAGAAAAAATAATCGATAATAATGAATGTTCCCTTTAACAGGAAAGTACCACATTTTGTACTGTGCAAATTAGTTTTCTAATGTTTCTTAAATTATTTTATAGTTGAGCAGGGTTTTTAAGAAGGCATTGTGGAAATTATTTTTAATCGAAAGTTATGTTTATGTATCACTCTTTTGAATAATAATTTTATACTTTGGTTTGATAAAATTGATAACTGGCATTAAATGTTTAGCAATAACAAAAATAATATTAATATTTTAAATGGGTATCATACAAATTATTAAAATCACAAAAATTGTGATTATGGCTAATCTCGATATTTTCCCTTACAATTTAAACCCCTACTCAGGACCCTTTAGAATAAGTTTTTTTTGTTCTTACCTAGTTTTACGAGGATTTATGTCATCTCTGTTTTTGTATATATTTTCTTCAAGTTTTGAGTATCCAGATCTGTACTGAGATTTTTGATCGTAGTTTTTAATTCTTCGATCCTTATTTGTATCAAAATCTGACTCATCTCTGTATTTATTAGATTTCCAATCTCTTCTGTCATTATAGTTTGAATAGCGGTTGCCGGGGGAAATCTGATCTCTTTCTCTCCATTTCCAGCTTGGACGGTTTTCTTTTGAATCATTCCATCTTTGTTTGAACTGTCTTTTACCTCTGAATTCATTTTCATCCAATTCATCATCACCACTTCTATCCCATTTCGAAATGTCATCAGCGGCCTGGGATTTAAATTTTTCTTTTCGATTTTCAAACTTTGTATGCGTTCTTTCCACTTGTGTTTTCTCATTTGGAATTTCACCATTTTCGCCAAATTGTTCTTCTTCGTGTTCATCATCTAATTTCCATTTTACTTGTTTTTTACTTCCTGTGTTATCAGAGGGGGTACTGTCCCCAACCGTCCCATTTTTTACATTATTTTCATCACCTGGTTCTCCGTAACTTTGAAACTTATCAAGCTTGTCATCTTGTTGAGTTTTTTCATTTCCTTGTTCACGGGTTTCACCGGGTTCTTTTTTGTTTTCTTCAATGTCATTGTTTGACCTAACATTATTTTTGTCTCTAGCATGTTCTTTGTCTTCGTACTCTTCCAAACCATCATGTTGAGATTCTGCCCCTTCAAAATCAGATTCACTATCATGGTCCCATTGTTTTACCCTATGCTTAGAAAATGATGACTTATCATATGATCTTCCTCCGTTTTCCCTAGACCTTCTAGGAAATTTATCGTAACTATCTGATTTCGTATAATTTCTATTAAAATGTGTATTCTCGTTATACCTCGTATTCCTGTTACCGTCATTCCACTTCCAGTTGTTAGATTGATATGAATTAGTTTTCCATGATTTACGAAACTGTCTGTTATCGTCATCTCCATAAGAAGTTTTGTTTTCGTAGTCTTTGTAAGGTCTTTTATTTTCTCGGTTCTCATCATAAAAATCATTCGGATGTCTGAAATCATTCTTTCTGAAATTATTATAATTTGGGCTTTTTCTCCTTGAGCGTTCATTTCCATAGTTTCTTTCTCCAGCCTCCCATGGAGTTTTATACCTTTTATTCCAATACCTTCCACCCTGGTTATGTTTAGAGTTGTCAAACTTGTCTGGTAGCCAAGACTTGGAACTTTCTGACTCTCTTTCAAGTTTTCTTTGCTCCTTCAAAATGTTTTTGGTGTATTCAATGTCATCTATCAATTTTTGGTTTGGACTTTTTTCAGTGTCATCCATTTTTATTTTGTTAGAATCCTAGAACTTGTTACGAAAAAGTACAAATGGAGCTACCAGTAGCACTGTATTAAGTTGATTAAACAACAGTTTTATGTATTCAGATATAAAATTGAAAATTTATGTGTAATTATTTCAAACTGTTTCCATATCTTCATTCATTATATTTATACGATGGCTGCCTAAAATTTATATCAATAATAATTCAATATTTAAAACTCCACAGTGAACCGATTTAAATTGTCTCTCACGTGCTTGACACAGGTAAAAGCTAGATTACAATTAGTAAGAATTCCCTTTAAAATACTGATATTTGACATAAACACAATACTTTCTTTCTAAATACAAGGTACAAGTAAAAACAAAACTTACACTGAACAATCTATAATTAATTGGAAATCAAGTGAAAATTAATGGATAAGTATTTAAACCAGACAGGCTTATCTCTTTAATGATGGATGTATGACTGATACATCGTTTCATCTGCCACTGGTTATGATCATATCAGTATTTCTTTGGTCACACATTCTAAATTCCCAGCTAGTAGCCCATAGTGTTAGTTTTTACTGATATGAGTGTAAGTGAAGAATTAAAAATGTGAACAACTTTATCTTTTTTTCGTGAAAAACACTTTCTAGAAAGATTGGTAGGGTAAGTATAGTTTGCATATTTTTAATTTTAGGAAATACACAGTACATTTTATTTCGGTTGATAACATAATCAATTAGAGTAGAAAGAAAGATGCTCAATTTAGAAATGAGAATAACTTTAGAGCAAATAGCATATTAAGTATTAATAGCTATTCTGCACTAGCTAAGCAAAAAATAATTTTGTTTTTCTTGTTGGTACAAAACCTTTATATCGAATATTTTTTAATATATTTGAAATAAGTTACTTGTATGCATATATTAAACACTAGGAAGAATTTTTGAAAAAATATACTTTTATTTTTTAGCTTTGGTATATTTTTATTTTATATTTTTTCTACATTTTTGTATTTAGGTCCATATTTTTATATTTAAGATGTTCTTTTGCCTACTTGCGTCCCCATAGTTCCAGAAATATTATAATTTCCGAGATTTCTACTCGGTTGTCCGGTTGTTTGAGTTTGAATTTGTGGCATTATATTGTTACTAATAAAGACCGTTTATTTGGTGTGCTTATAAACCTTTAAGAGTGATTTTCTTTTGTCTCCTAGCTTTTTTTCTTTATCCCCCTGAGAAAAATATCACTGAATGTGTGAAAAAAATTCTTATTCCTTTGTTTCAAGACGTCCTCTAGCTCTAACTTTTTTTTATTTATCCGTCGTATTGTCCAGCTCGTAAGATAATGTTAGTCAGTATTTAGACAACGGTGGTGCGTTTCCACACTAGAAAATATACCGGGAAGCAATATGCAATCGATTCACCATATGATACTTAAAATTAACCTAAATTCTATCATGACGAAATTTTATGTTACCTGTATTTAATACTAGCTGGTCCGACAGACGGCGTCCTGTCCTAATGTGGTTTTATGTCAAATGCTCATTCAAAACCATCCTTGAATGCCACCATGCCACCATGCCATGGTGCTTACCATGCTTGGTGCTTAATAATGCCTGAAAGTTTCATTACAATCTATTGAGCGGTTTCGGAGTCCATAAAGGACAAACAAACAAACAAACATATATACATTGGATTTTATATATATAGATCTTGACCGGTTTTAGTGCATGTGATATGTTACCCTCCTCAAGCCCTCCTTAAGGATACCCCTCTTTAAGGATACACTCCTTAAGGATATCTCTCCTTAAGGATAGCCCTAATGAAGGATACCCCTCCCTAAGGGTATCCTCCTTAGGGGTACCCCTCCTTAAGGATGACCTCCTTAAGGATACCCCTCCTTAAGGATAACCTCCATAAGGATATCTCTCCTTAAGGATACCTTCCTTAAAGATACTCTCCTTAAGGATACCCCTAATTTAGGATATCTTCCTTAAGGTTGTGTAATACATCAATTTAAAGGTCTAATAACCCGATCATTTTGGTACAAGAAAAAGTGAGTTATCTTTAACCGTATTTACAGGGTGGGTCAAAACGTTTTAAAACGTTTTTGAAGTTAAGTACCGTATTACCCTAACTACTGAACGGCACAGCACCAATTTTTCTTTTTACTTAGAACACCATAATAAACTTAACAATATATTTGTAATTTCCTCTTAAACCAGTTTTAGAAAACTACACACTTTTGGCCAAAGTTGTTTTCCACTGCATTAAAAATATTAAGTCAAAAGTAAGTTTGGGTTATTTCAGGGATCATTCAATCAATATGTAATTTCAGTTTCAGATTAGCTAGATTGACCTTAGAAACTGAAGTAGACTTTAAAAGTTTATGAACCATCTTATTCTTGTTTCTGTACTCTTCTATTTTATAAAAGGTAAGGAGAGGTATCCTAAAGAGGGTATCCTAAAGAGGGTATCCTAAGGAGAATATCCTAAGGAGCGGTATCCTTTATAAATGTATCCTTAAAGATGGGTATAAGTAGGATATTCTAAGGAGGGCATCCTTAAGATTCGGGTACCCCTCCATTTGATACCCTCCTTAAGGGTGACCTCCTTAGGATACCCTCCTTAAGGATACCTCTCCTTAAGGATGGCCTCCTTAAGAGTATCCCTCCTTAAGAGAATCCCTCCTTAAGGTTATTCCCTTTGGATACCTCTCCTTTGGAAATCCTCCTTAAGGGTACCCCTTCTTAAGGCGTACCTCCTGTAGGATACTCCTGCTCAATGATGCCCTCCTCAAGGACACCCTCCTTAAGGATACCCTCCTTAAGGATTCCCTCCTTAAGGATGAAATCATTAAGGATACCCCTACTTAAGGATGCCCCTCCATAAGGATGCCCCTCCATAAGGATGCCCCTCCTTAAGGATATCCCTCCTTAAGGAAACCCTCCTTAAAGATACCCTCCACAAGGATACCCCTTCTACGGATACCCTTCTTAAGGATACTCCTCCTTAAGGATATCTTACTTAAGAATAACCCTCCTTAAGGATACTCCCCTTAAAGATACCCTCCTCAAGGATACCCCTCCTTAAGGATATCCCTTATTAAGGATATCCCTTATTAAGGATAACCCTCCTTAAGGATACCTGTCCTTAAGGAATGCCCTTCTTAAGGATATCTCTCCTTAAGGTTATCCTTCTTAAGGGTATCCCTCCTTAACGATAACCTCCTTTGGATACCCCATCTTTAGGATATCCTCCTCAGGATTATCTCCTTAGGATACTTCTCCTTAGCTTTTATAAAAAAGAAGATTTCATAAACAAGAATACAATGGCCAATATATAGTTTTAAAAACTTCTTCAGTTTCTAAGTTCAATCTAGCTAATCTGAAACTGAAAGTACGTAACGATTGAATGATCCTTGAAATGCCCCTAACTTTATTTAGGACTAAATATTTTGTAATGCAGTGGAATCAACTTTGACCAAAAGTAAATATAGGGATACACACTACTAAAACAAACATAAATAAATTTCTAGTCCTTCAACAGAAAGCTTTGAGGTGTATGGTGGGACTGAGCTTTGGGGAATCTTGTGAGGAAACTTTCAAAAACCTTGAGATTCTTACCGTTCCTTGCATAATCATCAATCGTAACTCCTCCCAATATTTCAAGCAGATGACAACTGCATTGTAAACCATTGACATTGGGAACTGCAAGTATTTAATCTCATTTACGAGAAACAGATATGTAGCACTTGGACTTTATATAAAAGTACAGTACTATTGGTTTAATGCTAGCTCCGCTCAATATTGCTATCAATAATAATAATAATCATTAATAATCAGACAGTTGCATTGTAAACCTAGTATTCTAGCAGTTGTAGACAGTACATATTTTCTAGCCTTCCCTATCTTCCCGGTAGCAGTAAACCTAAATAATTATCGTTAAATCTAATGCTATAGGAAATAAATATTGGTACCTATTAAAAAAAAAA